AAGGAGAAGTCCAGATTGTCAACTATGGGGTCAGATTGGGAAGAGAAGGTCCTCTAAGGAGCAGGTTGATTGATTGAGAGGGAATACAGTCAGAGCCTGGAGGATGGATGAGTTTGAAGAACAGATCAGGCCAGAGTGAGACATGAGAGAACTGAAGGCCTGGAGTTGTGTCAGAAAGTGAACGATTGACATTTAAGATTTTTATTGACAAGGTCTAGGGTGTAGCCATGGATGTAGGTGGTTGAGAAGACCAAAGGTCATTGTAGTGAAGATATTTAGAAATTGAAATATAGGAATGAGTCATCCTTATGGATTTTGAAATCACCTAGGATCATGTCAGGAGCTGTGGCAAAGAGGACACTGGGATGCTAAAGGCTTCAGTGAATGTTGGGAAATGAATAGGAAGGGAGACAAGGAGTAATGAAAAAACAAGAAGTAATGATCTGAAATCAGTTTAGGAGAACAAGGGACATTCTGACCTACCCTGAGGTTCTTGAGGTGTAGGAAAATCTGGCAACAGAAAGCTGGTGATGTAAGTGATCTTGGCTGATGCAGGAGCAGGTCAAAGCAATTTGGGTGATATTTCTTTTGGCTGGATTCTGGGGCAAATTTGTTATTATTGTTATATAAACATAATATATAGCATTTCTTTGACAACTTTGTGTTTCCTCTTATTAAAAGGAATAAATAAACTTTCCTTTTATTTACATTTACATATATGCTTATATACCATATTTACTTGCATTTAAATATATATAAAACAATTTTTAAAAATTTTCCCTTACGTCTTGGCTTTATGAAGAAAGAGACCTCATATAGTCACTCACTGTAGAGACATCCTTAGTATATAGTTTTGGCTCTGTCTTTTGTATTTTATTTCTGGGAGGTTCTGGTTACCTCTAACTTTTAGTCCCTCCTAGCTAGGTTGGTTCTTTGTCTCACTGGACTAGTAATTAACTCTTAGGAAAGCCCTTGACCTCAGAGGTTGCTCAGTGATGAAGGACCACTTCCCTGCGTCTTTGCTCTTCAGCCTCTAGATAAAGGAAGAGGTCTGATTGTGTCAGCAAAAATGCTTCATCTGTGAGTTATAAATGGTATCTTGCATATTTCCAAAGAACCAAAATAGTTAGCTAGGAAGTTTCCATTTAATGTTGCCTCTTCCCCATTCCTCTCTTCATCTCCTGCTGGGATTATCTGTTGATTTATTTTATATGTGGTTAGTTTTTTAAAATGTTTGTTTTCTCATACACACGAGAGCTTTTGGCACAATACTTTTTTTTTGTTTTTGTCCCATCTTACTGTATGTATGTATGTATGTATGTATGTATGTATGTACAATATATTTATTGTCTGTCTGCCTGGTTGGCTGGCTGACTATCTCTTTGTCTTCTAAACTGTTCTCCACTTACCTCTGATCTCCTTGAGGTACAGTAGGTTTCTACTTCTCTTTTATATACTCTTAATAAGTAGATACATACTTAGGAAATAAGTGTTGAATTAATGCATTAAACTTAGAATTCAAACAGCCTAACTTACATAGAAAACTATGCCCAGAGGATTAAATGTCTGTCCAAGGCTACGTAGGTTCAGATGATATTAGAATCCACTTCTCTTCTCAAGGTTTTGGGTTTTCTGAAAGATTAATATCAAAAGAAGTAGGCCTGGATTGATAGTGTTCACCAAAGTTAGAGATCATTGAACTTAAATTATTATTATTGATAATTTAATTATATCTTCTGGGGATATGGGGCTTTCCACCTCTTATTTCACCTGTCACCCTGTTTGGAGATGGGATGATGGGTGTGTCTTTTGTTGTTCTTTAACGACTGAGATTGGGGAGTGAGGGCCTATGCATAGGAAGGCTTTGCCTTACTTGTAAAACTGGTAGATTTACTTTTTCCTTGGCCTATACCTTCAGGACATCCTTTGTCTCATGAGTGCTAGCGAAGACATGGAACTATGCATTAGGGATGGGGTGAAACTGGATAATCTCTGACCTGACAGGCAGAAGCAGCACGTCTGGGGCACTTGTGAGTGGTTTGTGGGGAATTTGAGACTAGAAAAAAAAATTATTACCAGGTGCCAGAAGTTCATATATAGGTCATTTGTGGCTGGTAGGGTTGGCAGGAAATAGTGAGTCACACTGACAGGTTGATAGGATTGAAAAATAACAAATTCTTAGTAATTTCTGGGAGAGTTTTTTTTTTTTCTTCTTCATTTAGACCAGTAGTTCTTAATCTGGGCTTATTTTGTCTGCCAAGGAACATTTGGCAATGGCTAGAGAGGTTTTTGCTTGTCACAAATTAGTGAGTTAGAGGTGTGTGTGTGTGTGTGTGTGTGTGTGTGTGTGTTACTGGCATCAAATGGGTAGACACCAGGGAGGCTGTTGGACATTGTACAGTGCATACAACATGCCTTCATAACAGGGAATGAATTATCTAGCTCAAAGTTAATTTTACTAAAATTAAGAAACCCTGATTTAGACCCTGATGATTAGTTAAGTGATTGAAACAAATGCTTTATATGTATTCTAGACTTTATATTCCATGATTAAATTGCAAAATTTGATTTATTTCACCTTTTTATTTTCATTCTTTTTTAATTGAGGTGAAATTCATATTACACAGTCATTTTAAGGTGAACATTTCAGTTGCATTTAATACATTCATGATGTTGTGCAACCACTACCTCTATGTAGTTCTAAAACATTTTCATCACCCCAAAAGAAAACCTGTACCTTGAAGCAATTATTTCCCATTGCTTCCTTCCCCAGGAGTATGAAAACCACCCGTCTGCTTTCTGTCTCTGGATTTACTTATTCTGGATATTTCATATAAATGGAATGAATCATGGCTTATATCACTTAGCATAATATTTTTGAGATTCATTCATGTATCAGTACTTCATCCATTTTTATGGTTGAATAATATTCCATTGCATAAATATACCACAATTTGTTTATCCATTTACCCATTGATGGATATTTTGATTGTTTTCCATCTTTGCCTGTTGTTGGCGGATTTGACCAATGCAACTATGAATATCTATGTATAAGTTTTTGTTGAAAAACAAAATTATTTTTCAGGTTTTCTTTTGGCGTGGAATTGCTGGGTCATATGGTAATTCTATGCTTAGCTTTTTGAAGAATTCCCAAACTATTTTCCATGTTTGGGAATTAGGCTGATCCATTTTACATTTTACCAGCAAGTATGGGGCTTCCAGTTTCTCCATATCCTTGCCAACACTTGTTTTTTGTTTTTGTTCTTTTTAAATGATAGCCAGCTTAGTAGGTATAAAGCAGTATCTTTTTTATTTTTTATTGTGGTAAAATACACATAACATAAAATTTACCATTTTACTATTTCACTTTTGATATAGACTAGTGATTCAACAAGTGTATTTTGAGGCCCTACTCATGAGGGCACCATTAAAGCACTGGAAATTAAGACAGCAGAACAGACATAGGCCCTGAGGAGGAGGCATTATTGAAGCCCCACCTCAAAGTTGTCATGTCCTGGAAGTGATTTTGCAGAAAGTATAGATGTTGGTTTAGTTGTATTTAGGTTCCTTTCAAGTGCAAATTAGTAGTTTAAAGTTTAAAAGACAAAAAGAAAGAAGTAAAGGAAAAGAAATACAAAACCCAGTAGTGAGGAGGAGGGAGGGCTGGTGCTGTGGAATTTGTCCCTGCCCTGTAGTCCACTGGGGAAATCCTGTGTTTTAGGTTCTTTTAAAACCTTCCTAAGCTGTTTCTTTAAAAAAAAAAAAAAAAAATCCTCACCAAAGGATGTTTTTATTATTTATTTGTTATTGAGAGAAGGAAACACTGATGTGAGGAAGAAACATTGACTTGGTTGCCTCCCTTGGGCACCCTGACCAGGGATCAAACCTTCAATTTAGGTATGTTTCCTGACTGGGGATCAAACCCGCCAACTTTTGTCTATGGGCTGATGCTCCAATCAACTGAGCCACCTGGCTAGGGTCTGAAGCTGGTCCTTAAAACATCTTTCATTGTGATCTGTCTTTATCATTTCCACCATACAGGTGGGACAATTGTATTTCCTTTTGAATTGATTAAAAAGCAAAATTGCCTATGTTGCTGCTCATCAGTGTGATCTTTAAGAATCAGAGCCCAAGTGAGATCAGGTGGGCCAGAGACTGGGCAGGACTGAACTCTTCTGACCTGCAGAGCGCCTTTCTCAGTGAAGTCACTGAGATGTGGGCTAAGCTGAGGTTCAAGTCCACATGGAAAGCACAATAATGGTCAGTGGACACGAAGTTTCCTTGGCAGACTATGTCAGTGAACATTCCCCAGGAGGAAGTATTTAGGTAGTAGTTCCCATGAAGAAGGAATACAGCAAAGTGTTTCTTTTTCTCCCATAGTGGAGTCTTAGGAATGCTGTGACAAGTGACCAAAAACTGAATGGCTTACAACAAGAGATTTATATTCCCACAGTTATGGAGGCCAGGAGTCTGAAATCAAGATGTTCACAGGAGCATATCCCATCTAAAGGCTCTAGGGGAGAATTCTTGCTTGCTTCTTCTAGGGCTTCCTTGGCTTGTGGCTGTATCACTCGTCTCTGCATCCATCTTCACATGACCGTCTCCTCTTCTCTCTCTCTCTCAGCAATTGTTTTTCTGCCCTTTTTTTTTTTTTAATTGATTTCAGAGAGGAAGGGAGAAAGATAGAAACATCAATGATGAGAGAGAATCACTGATTGGCTGCCTCCTGCATGCCCCCTACTAAGGAGGGGGGATCGAGCCCGCAACCTGGATATGTGCCCTTGGCCAGAATTAAACATGGGACCCTTTAGTCCACAGGCTGACATGCTATCCACTGAGCCAAACTGGCTAAGGCTCCTCTTTTCTTTGAGTGTCTCTTCTGAGTGTCTTGGTCTAAGGCAGGGGTGGGGAACATCTGGCCCATAGGCCTTATAAGGCCTGGGAAATCATTTGGTCTGGCCCTGCCAAGGCATTAGGGGTGTATTAAATGTTTGACCAAATGTAGCAGGCTAATTTTAAAGTTGATAATTTTGTATGACCTGTAAGTGGCGCTATAAATATCCAAATGGCCCTTGGCAGAAAAAAGGTTCCCCACCTCTGGTCTAAGGACACTTATGTTTGGACTTAAGGCCTACCAGTGTTAATCCAGAATGATCTCATTTTGAGATCCTTAATTTAATTACATCTGCAAAGACCCTTTTTCCAAATAAGGTCACATTTACAGATTTGTGGGGTTAGGGCATGGACCATCACTCAGCCCACCACAGGGGTGAAGGAGACAAGGTGCCCGGAGTACCTGATTTGGAGAGGAGACAGGTGTTCTGGAGAGTGGCACAGCTGAAACCCTCATGGGGCACCTACAATATTGCTGTTACTCTCCCTGGAAGCTGTTAGCTAGAAATGCCAGCTCCACAGGGGAAGGTCGGCAGTGACCTGATCAAACCTGGCTTTACCAGAGATAATTTACTAGACTTCAGCTCATACCTAGTGAACCTTTATCCATCTGACCCACATCGGTATTTCTTCCGTGAGCCCTTCCTCTTCCTTTTCTCCTTCCTTGTCAGAGATTTTCTCTCCAGTACTTTGCTTCCTTTGGTATTGTTTTGTTTTTATCATGGACAGTAAATCAAACAGAAGTATGTATGTTAGTAATTCTAATGATTATTAAGTAATTCTTTGCTGCTTGTCTTTTGAGCTCCTTCAGCAGATGATGGTGCTGGAGCCTTGCACTGACCTCCCTTCCTAGATTCTTGATCTTTGGCCACCTGATTTGGGATTTGGGATGTGAGTCTAGGAGCTAATGGGACTGTACCACACATGTGCCTTCAAATGTTTATATTTCATTTTCCTTGATAGTGTACCTGTATAATAGATAAGGGAGAGGATGGGTCTCCTGAGACCTTGAATTACCCACTTCCATCAAATATTCCTGGTCTCCCCCAAGGTCTAGAACTTGGACCAATATATATGGTTAAAGTACTCAGTTGAAATCCACATATCCCCTAATGATAATAGTACTACTAAAGGTCCAGAAACCCAGTCAGCCCTTCTCCAAATAACACTTTTAAGATGGACAAAAATATTGGCAAATCTGTAATGTTGAGAGTATAGGTAGAGTGAATGACACAAAGGCTCTGGAATCTTTGCTTATCTTGGAAATCATGATTGGGCTGCTTTTTATAAACTGGGTCATGGCTTCCACTGTGGCATGAATTTTTCCAAGTAATATGCTGCCTCCTTAGGCAACATTGAGACCTGCTGAGTAAAAATTAATGTACACAGTTTAGTCCTATTGGGTCGGCAAGTAAGTAATTGCGGATTTTTTAAAGAAAATCAAAGACAATTTTTTCATGGAACTAAATAACTTTATTCTGTAATGTATTGCCCATTTTGATCAATGACCTTTTGCCATCTTTCAGGCAGCATCATAATCCCACGTTCAAAAAACTTCTGGTTTTTATTAGCAAAAAACTGAATCAGGTACGATTTGACATCATCATCATTATTGAAATTTTTACCATTCAAGGAGTTTTGTAAAGATCGAAACAAAAAGTAATCAGATGGTGCAAGGTCAGGACTATATGGTGGATGTGGCAAAACATCCCAACCAAGCTCCATTAATTTTTGCCGAGTAACCAAAGATGTGTGTGGCCTTGCATTGTCATGATGGAATACAACACCTTTTCGATTTGTCAATTCGGGCCGCTTTTCTTCAACTGCATTGTTTAATTTCGTTAGTTGTTCAATGTAGACATCAGAATTGATCGTTCGGTTGGGTGGTAAGAGTTCAAAGTAGACAATTCCTTTGTAATCCCACCAAACTGATAACAAAACCTTCTTTTGATGAATATCAGCTTTTGATGTTGTTTGAGTTGGTTCACCTGGCCTGCTCCACGATCTTTTCTGCTTGATATTGTTGTAAACAACCCATTTTTCATCGCCAGTTATCAGTCGTTTTAAAAATGGATCATTTTCATTACGTTTCTTTAGCAAATCGCAGCTGCTAATGCGTTGCGGTAACTGTGATTCTTTCAGTTCATGAGGAACCCATGTATCGAGTTTTTGAACATAGCCAAGTTGTTTTAAGTGATTTTCAATGCATGTATGTGATACATGAAGCTTCTCTGCAATCTCACGTGTTGTACTGTGACAGTCCGAATTGATTATTGCTTTGATTAGGGCGTCATCAACTTCAACTGGACGACCAGAGCGTTTTTCATCTTTGAGTGAAAAATCACCAGAACGAAATTTGGCAAACCAATTTTGACACTGCCGTTCTTTTAAGGCTTCGTCACCATAAACAGCACATAACTTTTTATGAGCTTGCAATGCGTTTTTCCCTTTGCGGAAATAAAAAAGCAAAATATGACGAAAATGTTCCTTTTGATTTTCCATTTTTCAACGAACGCCAAACGAAAACTACAAAACAGATCAAAAAACTTTTTTTACTGATTAACAGCTGAATAGCCAACTATCAAATAACAAAATGTGTTTTACATTTGTACTACGTCTGCAAACCTAAAAATTCAACTGAAGCCATATATGTGCGAAACCCGCAATTACTTAGTTGCCGACCCAATAGAAGGTTGAATGGTGAAGGGGACAAGGGTTATTAAGGGAGATAATAGAAAGCACCTTTATCAATTAAATACAGTGAAAACATAAAAAGCATTATGTCTTTAAAAATACAATTGTACTCACGCATATATCTATAACACATGGACACAGACAATAATGCAGTGAAGGCCTGGGGCGGGAGAGTGGGAACAGGGTTGAGGAGGATAATGGGGGGTAGGAGGGGAAATTTGTAATACTTTCAACAATAAAGAAAAATTACCCCTAACCGGTTTGGCTCATTGGATAAAGTGTCAGCCTGAGGACTGAAGTGGGGTCCCAGGTTCGATTCCAGTCAAGGGCATGTATAATACCTTGGTTGCTGGCGCATCCCCAGTATGGGGTGTGCAGGAGGCAGCTGATGGATGTTTCTCTTTCTCATTGATGTTTCTAACTCTCTATCCCTCTCCCTTCCTCTTTGTAAACAATCAATAAAATATATTTTTTTAAAAAAATTTAAATTTAAAAACAAAACAAAAATACAATTGTAGTCCTTTTCTGGTCAAACTCCTGGGTGTTAGTCTTGTCATCGTCATAATAATGAGTTTACTTTTAGTGCTTTACTGGAATTCAGAGCCAAGACTCAATCTATAAAAGAAAATTTATTTAGAAAGTCACAGAGGTAGAAGAAATGGGCTCAGGAAACAAGTTATAGAGGCAAAAGAAGGCCCCTTGGAGCTTTGAAGAAAGAAGGGTAAAGGTAACTTGCCTGGGGGTAAGAGGAGAGAGAGGAAAGGTATTGGGTGTGTTCCTATGAGGAAGATTGCTCTGGATCCTCTATCCTAAGGGCTTTTAAGGGTGGGGAATTTAGAGGAGTTCCCTGGGGAGGATCTCATTAGAATATTCAACAGCTCTTCAGGTGTGCCCTTTCAGGGTCATTGTCTCCACTGATTGATTGGTGCCAGGGCAAGGGGTCATTAGTCTTTGCAAAAGTTTGTATGGGGTTCTCCTGCTCCTTGTTCCTCCTCTAAGGGAGTCTGCCATATGACTAGCAACATGTGGGGGGAGGAAAGGTCAGGGGATGGTTCAAACTGCATGACCAGTGATATGAAAGATAAGGGGGTCTAAATCACATGACTAGTGGTATATTAGGGGAGGATTGGTTACTCTGGGGGGGCAGGTGGTAGGGGGTGGCAAGTGCTTGTTTTCCCAGTTTTGCCAGTTGCTAGGCACCTGGGGCTTTCTATCCTGGAAACCTTATGTACCTGGCCTATCATCCTTGCTGTGTTTCTTTCTTTCTAACTGCCTATCACACATGTATTGCCATAACACATTGCTTCTCTATAGAAAGTTTGCTAGGCCTTTTGTGGTCCTGCTCCATCTTGACTATATCTAGCAGAAATTCCTTAAAGTCTGAGTAGGTGGGATGGTACCCTCCTGGTTTCCAGCTCATAATGCAGGATTTTCTCTATTCTTGTGTTTCTTTACATCAGGATCATGGATGATGTATGTCTATTCTAGGTCATTTAGTCTTGAAAATATTTTAAAGTAATTGGCAGGTATTCAGGATTCACTCATTCATTTAAGAGGTTTTTGTTACATATCCAGGCACTGAGATACTAGCTCAGAGCTTCTTACAAGCATGTTTATTTTTGCATCTCCAACACTAAGTGCAACTAGTGCCAGCACAAAAAGGAAAGACTTGTCAAAGTCTGCTGAACTAAAAACCACTGGGTTTTGTGAAGACAAACGTATATAATACATATCCCTGTGTTCAGTTGGATTGTGGTAAAGTAGGGAAGGCATGGACACAATAATCTGTGATCTAAGTGCTGTAAGAGAGGGATCACAAAGAAGGCAAAAAACAATTCCTTAGGGGATGTTGGAGGTCAGGAAGAGCCTTTTTATAAATATGATATTTGAGCTGAGCCTTTAAAGATAGTTTTTCAGAGTAAAAAAATCAGGGAGGAGATGTAGTAGCATAGACACATCTCAAGCAAAAATACAAAATCAGGAAAGTACAAAGCATGCTCCAAGAGCAGTAAGTTGTCTTGTAGGACTGGAATAGTGAGTTTATGGGGTGGAGGAAAGGTGTAGGCTGCAATAGTGGATCCAGACCACATCCTGAAGACTTGAATGCCATATTGAGATTTGTGAACTTTATTCTATAGGCCATGGAACACTGTTAAAAGTGTCCATTACAGCCCTGGTCAGTGTGGCTCAGTTGGGCTTCACCCTGAAAGATAGCTGGTTCAATTCCCAGTTGGCATATGCCTGGGTTGCAGACTCAATCCCCAGTTAGGGGACTTGCAGGAGGCAGCTAATTGATGTTTCACTCTAACATCAACGTTTCTCTCCCTCTCCCTCTAAAAATCACTCTCTCTCTAAAAATTATTTTTTAAAAAGTTTTTGTTATAGAGATGGAGAATATATTAGTTGTTGCCAGGAATTAGGAATGGTGGAGGGTGAGGAAGAGGTAGGGAGGAGGATGAGTTGACTATAAAGGGGCAGTGCAAAAGATCTTTGTGGTGATGGTTACACATGAATATGTGATATGTTTGTGTAAAATGATACCTACACATACATACATATAAGTGTATGTAAAATTGGCAAAATCTCAATAAGGTCTGAAGATTGTGCCAAAGTCAATTTTATGAGATGTTACTATTGAGGGAAATGGTTGTAGGGAATATAGGTCCTCTTTGTAGTGTTATTTCAACTTCCTATGAATTTATACTTCAGAATAACAAATTGGGGGGGAAAGAAGGAAAACTTGTATGAAGGAGAAGCTGGAGCAAGGAGAATGATTAGAGCTTGCATTTATTGGGAAATGCTACTTCAGATACTATGTAAAATATTTGGGAAGTTATAAAACATGAGGAATTGTTGAGTGGAGGAGATGGACATGTTTTAAATAGTGTTGTTTTTGTATTGATAAAGTTTCAAAGCACTGATGGGAGGGAGGGAGGGGGGCAAAAAAATCAATAAAATATATTTAAAAAATAAATAAATAAAAATAAATGTAAATCAATTAAATGGAAATAAAACTTATTTAATTAAAAAAAGTTTCAAAGCACTGTGAAAAGTGGGGAACAAACTGCTGGAGAAGGTTTCATAGTGAGTGACACAATGAGCTGACACTGAGGGCAGAGTGGGAGTTTGGGTAGCATACACTGGGATTCTGCAATAGTGCAGGTGAAAGATAGAGCTAAAATGAATGGTAGTAGGAATTGAGAGCGAGGAATAGATTCAAGACTATTTTGAAATTGATGCAAATTGTTGATATAAAATGTGTTTAGACCAAGTTTTTTGTGTGTTTGACTGAATGTTTGGTGGCTCTATTAGCCAAAATTTAGGGAAAGATTTTGGCCAGAATATATTGGGTTTGAAGTATCCGAAGAACCCCATGTGGAGAGCCTGATTTGTGGAGCTCAGTTGAAGCAAAGCCTAGAGTGAGAGAGGAGAGATGTATTGGGCCTTAAATTTCTTCCACACTGGAGCATTTGCCACTTCCTCAAATCATCTATCCTCAGCATGTTTTAAGTCTGTGCCTTGGCCTGGAATGTTCCTTTCTCCCTTCCTTGTAAGGTGAAATCCCACTCCAGTAGACCTACTTCAGAATAGAGGTAATGGTTGGAACTTTGCTAGCATGTGAATTTTGTCTACAGATACCAGCTGACCTTTGCTAGCATATGAATTTTGTCTGCGATACCCAACTGTAGAAAAGGAAAGAAGCAGGTCAGTTAGGACTGGGATTTGAAGGTGGCAAGCTTAGGGGAAGGAGATGAGCAGTTGGAGAGCAGAAGAAGAAAAAAGTAGTGAGGCCAGATGGAATTTTGGTTGCTCCGTCACAGCAGACCTGACCAACCAGAATTAGACATACTAGAAGAAACAGGCCATAATATACCTAAGTTGTAGAGTTCATGACAACAAAAACCAGCATTCAGTCTAAGTCTACCCAGAGTTCCATCTCATATGTAGAGCCTGTCCAACATGGAATTGTGCCTTGCCAGCCTGATTAATTTTTAAGATCTGATTCTCTGAAGTGTCTGGGCATTGAAATGCATCAAAGGCAGCTTTTGTTTTTCTGAAGTTGGTCAAAATAATACTGGGGAGTCAGGTTACTGTAACCTTGAGCTCTGGATGTTCTGGAGGGATGAGATCAGACTCTTTAACTTCCCTGGTTTCAGAATGCTCTTTACCTTTTGCAGGGCAGGTCCTTTGGAATTGGGAGTGGGCATGCTTCCGTTGGATTCACTGCTCTTTATTATTGGAAAATGCCTCATTTTCTGGCTATAGATAGAGAATAGCACCACTGAAGGAGCTCCTACTTCTTTTCTTGCTTCCTCATCTGTCCATTACTTGAATGATGTAGTCTTTTGTTTGAGTTCTGAAAAACTATTGTCAATAACTGAAATACCAGAGTGTTTCAATACAAGTGCACTCTGAATTATGTACTTTTTACACTGCGTAGTCTCAAAGCAGATGATGGTGATGATGATTATAGTTTGGGTTCTTCTGCACAAGGTCTCCTTAATTCTTTTCTTTTTAAAAAACATGTTTTTTCTTTATTTTAGAAGGAGAGGAAGGGACAAGGAGAGAGAGGGAAACAGGGAGGGAGAGAAGAAGAAGCATAAATGTTTTTTGTTTTTTTAATATGTTTTTATATAAACTTGAAGGATAAGCAAACTCTGTTGTCTCTCCCTATAATAGATTCAGAAGTGCCTACTATCTTTAAACACTTGAATGTATCTATTTATGTTACATATTGTAGAAATTCTGTGGTGGATTACTTTTATAAAAGGTAAATATTTGTTTCTTTTAAATAATTTCACCTTCCTGTCACAATCATTTATCAACCTTTATGAGTTAACAGATCCTGGGATATTTATGTGATAGATCATTGCCTAGAACAGGGTTTTTCAAAAATGACACTATTGATATTTAGGGCTAGATCATTTACTATTGTGGGTGCATTGTAGGATATTAGCAGCATCTGTGGTCTCTACCCATTTGATGCCAATAGTTCCCTCTACTCTTCCAAGTTGTGACAACCAAAAATGTCTCGAGATATCTACCAAATGTTTCCTCTTGGTGGGCAAAATTGCCCTA